AGAAATTATAAACCATCACCAGTATCCAGAAATTATAAACCATCACTAGTTGCCACTACGTACATGGAGAAGATTTTTCATCCTCCGTAGCATGGTGCACTTTTGGCAAACCTTTTTTAAATGTTAGGACACGTATGTCGAAATGGTTTAAAACCACTGGACACCCTACACTTAACATTAAGCTTAATATTTACATCAATTCAGAAAATTCAACCTTCAAGGAGCCAACAAAAGAAAACAGTATGAAGCACCTGATACAAAATCCATTCCATGTAATTTGTAAATGTGTAAAAAATACAAATATATAATACAGCACCAACAGTAGAAGTAGGCTAAGTGTAGTACAATCAATAAATCCTTACTATTGGTATTTTGCTTTGGTAGCCAAAGTCATGAGAATGCATCAATGCCGTTACCTACTACCAGAATATGAATGGACTTGCAAACTTGTAGAAGACGTTCTGATAAATTTTTATATGCTAGACTCAACACTCATGTGCGCTTAGTGACTATGATCCGTTGATGCACATCCTAATAATAATAAAAAGTTGAGAGTCTCATATGTTATCATGCGACCCCAGATATCTTATAATTCTCCACAATTAAAGATACAATGTATTCTAATTAGTAGTAACAACATGTCAAATGCATGCTAAAGTATTGTAGATACAAGTCTAGCAATTTTGAATTTTCAAGAATTGGAAATGCTTACGGGAAAACACCAAAACTGTGAACTTTTTATGTACGTCCTTGTTCTTTCACGTTATATCCTTGATGTTGCTGAAAATGAAAAGAGAGAAGTGCGACTACTATATTTTGTCTTCTTTTTTTTTTTTCTTTTTTTTTTCTTTTTCTGTGGTGTTTGTCCAAGAAGTATCCAAAATCTACAACAGAAGCTGCAATTGGATTCACTGAATAATGTGGTCCATATCCATACTCCATACAAAGGAAAAGACAGGGATGACTTTTTATTTTCCGCAATAAATAGTTGAATGTGACAACCAACTAATTTCCCAGAAGCCAACTTTTTTCTATTTCTTGCAATACACGTTTTGGAAATTTAGAAGCATGACTTGTGAAGGTCAATGCTTTGCCGTTAGCGGCAAACACATGGTTTTTAAAAAGAAAATTGTAAAAACCCGTGATGTGGGTTTAACTTTAAGATTGTATATGCATCCAAAGTCTGAAATCCAATTATCTTTTCCATGGTTTTGTTTGTTAATGAATCTGTGACATACGACAAAAACATATTCCGTTATTCCATACCTTGTTTTCTTATCACTTCTCAGCTATAGCTAAGGTAAGGCCTCAATCTTGCTCAAGACAACTTGGAAAGTGTCAAACGACTGAGAAAAAAACAATTACATCCAAATCCAAATGCTAATGTTTGTTAAATTTGTATTGTCACCAAACAAAATATACTTGCGCAAGGGGCTTGTAACTCAAGTGGTTAAACATAACTACCCTGCACTTAAGGTCGTGTTCGAATCCCCCTCTCCTAATATCACTTGCATGTATTTTTTTTTGGTCAAGAGCACTTGTATGTATTTGCTTGTAGCATCTTTGCATTTTGGTCACTTTTTTTAAGTTTTTTTTTTAATATTTAAAAAGGAAAGTTCCAATGCCAAGTGCAGCAATGAGCATAAAAGCAAGCATTGGGTGATCTTCTCTGTGAGTCTTGAAATGGCAATTGGGTGATCTACTGTGTTGGCTTTTTGGTGTTTGGCCAAGAAGTACTCCAAAATCTACAACAGAAGCTGCAATTGGATTCACTGCAAAAACTCTGTTCCATTAATTTATTATGTTTAAAGAATATATATTTAAATAAAGTATTCCCATACTACATACAAAGGAAAATATTTTTTTTTGGTCATACAAAGGAAAAGATAGGGATGGCTTTTTTATTTTCTGCAGTAGCTAGTTGAATGTGACAATCAATTTAATTATGTCTCCAAAGAATTCTCCAACTTTTTTCAAGACACAGTTTGGAAATTTGGAAGCATGACTTGTCAAGGTCGATGCTAATTTTCGTGTGGGCTTCCAAAGTGGATGCAAATCTAGCGATTTTGAATTTTCAAGAATAAGGATCAGACAATGAATAAGAACGTCATGGATAGAGAGACAATAAATAAGAACGATGACACTGAGGTCAAGGTCTAGGAGCTTCTATATCCTTGTTCTTCCACCACGTGATGGAGAAGTCTT